ATCTCTAAAAGGGTCAGAGCCAAGGCCATTGGGAAGAGTGCATTGTGCTATATCTTGTCTGTTGATTAATACATTTTCAGTGGTGCCAGATCCTTAACCTTCATGAGCACACATAGTCTCACAGAACGCTTAATAAAGGTCCCTCACGGACTAAACCTTTCTTCTCAATTTGCATATCGTTTCAGGATTTCCTGGGAATATTAAAAAAACCACAACTAAATTACTCGTAATTTAGAAGCATGTTTGCCTGAACTGTTTGTAGTTACACCTCTAAGTTAATTAGCATGATAACAGACCACTTTAAATCATTACTTGGCCTAGGGAGAAGGAGAGCTTTATAACTCATTCCATTTTTATAGCACGTTACAATTTTCTTCTCACACCGCATCAGCTGAAGCTAAGCAGACACACAGAACAGAGGGGATCCACCCTCCGAGACTGATTTCACTGTTCAAAGCACAGACATGGAACAAGAACGTGCTCTAAGTGCCTGTTCTCTGCAGCAGGAGGACTGCTGAAGGACCACTGGTAGCAATGTGAAGCCCTTTGCTTTTTTTTTCCCCGTTACAGTAACAATTAGAGCAAGAAATGGAACCACTTCCATTTCATGCATACCTCGGCTAGAGATCCCTGGGCTTTTCTGCGTAACCATCTGGAATCTGTTTTGGAAGTAAAGCCGGTCACACCAGCAGCGTCCTCTGAGCCACCCTCGGCCCGACCCCTTCCACCCGCCCGCGGACAAAGGAGATTATGATTTTAGCAGGAGTAACATCAGCTTCAACCCTCGTGGCAATCCTTCACTGATTACTTCTGTTACGCAGCGGCGGCCAAAAGCTTAAGGCCAGTACCTCAGCTTCTATCTGGACGGAGTCGTTACCATCGTTCGTATGAAGGATCGGGATCTGCACCATTTCTCATTTCCGACTCTGGTTAAGGATTATAAAATGATTCCTAATGATTAAATCATTCCTCCGTAGTCATCAAGAGTTTTTACATTCTTACTACCTATTTATTTAACTGGCTACTGAAGGAATAGCATTTAGCTCGGGGTTCTTTTGTACAAATCAATAACATGATTATGATTTTTTCATTAAACAATTATCCCTGGCTTGCTTTTCTTCTGATTGCTTTGAAATTAGCAGGGAACTCCCAAACACAAGGTGTTTTGAAACAAACCCCACTTCTAGCCTGATTTATCATAAATTATTAAGGAATTTGAAAAAAACCCCAACCCTGGTAGAAGCATAGACTTATTCAAGAACTCCCTGCACACTGCTGCTCTCCCGAAAGCACGGGCACGCTATTTTTTACCACCTGGGAGATGGCAAAAGCAAAACTACGAGCGAGCTGTGAGCGAGCAACGTCCTGGTGAGCTAGCGCAAGGTCAGGCAGAGCGCTCAGCACCGCGGGCCCGCTCGGGAAGCTGCCCCGAAGGGCTGGGCGGTCCCCGAGTGCCCCCTCGCGCGGGGACGCCTCCGGCTCCTCGGGTGGGCGAGGAGCAGAACAGAAAGAGGGGTGGCTGGGATACGGTCGTGGTTCCCAGCAGGGGACCGCTGCCTCTCGGAGGGGGCGAGGAAGCAGTTCAGATCAGAGAAGCCTCCTTGGTTCTTTGCCCGAGTCTCTGGGGCAGGAGGACACAACGGTGCTGTACAGCACAGCTTGCCTATGTCCCGCCGTCAAGGCCAGAGGAGTTCAGCTTTTCGCAAGGCAAAAGCAACAGCTTAAACCGGAATCCGCCTGACACTGAGGTGAAGCTCTGCACGTTGTACCTCCTCCCCTCCACCCTCCTCATCGCCGCTGTTGCGCCCCTCCCCGAGGCCCCCAGAGGCCGCAGCCCCCGAGCAGCTCCCAGTTACACCCTGGCCCACCCGATGCACTGTAACGTCCACGTGCAACTCGGAACATACGGATTAAACGCTAAGACAGTTCTGCATTAGTGCTACAGCTGTTTCCAAATTGGTTTTTCTCTTTTTTTCTGTCCCTACACAGCTGGATAAATCTGGGTGTTTCTTTCCGAAATAAAATGAGTCGGAATGGTCACTGCATTTCGAGGTGATGAATACAGGTAATTGCTAACTTTGGGATAAGCTACGGATAAATCGGGATTAGCTACAGATTAGTTTGGAAAAATTAGACCTGACAAATTACTGTAAGCATTTCAAACTGAATTTCTGTTGAACAGATTATTTGTATCTATATCAGATTTTTCATAAAAACCACTCATTTTTATAAACATCTCTTAAGATTATTTTTGTTGATTACAATGTAAAAAAGAAGGAATAACTGTGTATGGACAATGATAAAGTAGCCTGTTGATAATAAATATTTGTCAGGTCTTGTCACGTCTGTACACATTCCAATGTTACTGAAGAGACACCACATTGATAAAAAAAAATACCCTCAGAAAAATCAATGGGTTTTGAGCTAAAGCAGTTGCTAAACACACAGAAAACATCTTTATCCAACAGCCAGAGTGCTGTGAAAATTCCCAAGCCTTGCATTGGTACAGCTAAGGAAAATTTAATCTTCCCAAATACTCATCAGGGCACTCCATCCTGCAGACCTGACAGCCCCACTTATAATTAATTATACAATTTCGATGGGAATATCGACTAAACAAAGCTATAAATCATAGAAAAAGTCAATAGGCATGGACACATTCAATCATGTCCCGACCAATGATTACTACTCTTAAAATACAATAATTATTTTCAGGAGCCAGCTTGAATTAAATTTCTGTCAGGCTGGTACAAGACCGGCGGTTGATGAAGGATGCGATGGATTTTTTGGGTTGAATTCGGCACAGAGACATTTATCCTTTTAGATAGGTAGTTTGTTTTTAGTGATCATGGTGCTGCGTGTTTAACTAGACCATGAAGATTAGATTATCTCCAATGGCTCATTATATCGTTTATCTTTTCCTTCCATGTTTGATCTGGAAGATTTCCCGCTTCTTGATGCATGAATGAAACGACTGCTGATTTTGAAATGGAATGTGCTTAAGTGGGATTCTGCCTGTGCCTTCACGCACCCCATCCGTGTACGTAAGGCCAACCAGCAGGCATCCGAAATACCACTGGGATGTGGTAAATGGCAGCACAAGAATAGCTTTGCGCAGCTTCGGAAGCGTACTAGGAAAAAAAGAAAACTATAACTGTTTGAGTTGTTTTAAAAGAAGCTAAAAAAATTATTGTAATAATGCACGTACATCCCAGAGGGACATCGGGGACAGGAATGGGATCAGTATGGGAATGGGAGCTGGGATTAGAGTTATTACTTTGAATTAAATGTCCCCAAAACTGCAAAACATCAGTGAAAGAAATGTTGGGTATTTCCCAAGGATGCATTCGCCTTGTCAAGTTAAAAAAACCTCAAGCCCCAAACCACGTTTTCTCACAGTAACCGTGTTTTGAAGATGTGCTGCCTACACAGATGTTTCTCGTGGCAAGCATGCACGCCACACGAGAGATGTGCTGCGAGAAGGGACAGCGGTCCCAGTGACCGGGATGCTGAAAGGAGCAGCAGATCTTTGCTTTCCTCCTGAGTCGGACTCATCAAACTCTTCCGACCTCGAGGAACGAGTGAGATCTCAGATCCTCACGTGGAATTACCCGCCTAGGTGCAAGTCAGCTTAAAACCAGAGAGGGTAACAGCGCTCCAGCTGTGCTCCTGGCCCTGGCTCCTTGCTGCCAGCCCTCCAGGCAGCCCGGTTCTCTACGAACAACAGGAGAGGAAGCCGTAGGCGGGAGAGAGGACAGGGAGGGGAGAGCCGTGGATCCGCGTGCATCCCTATGCAAGAAGGAGCAATACATGGCGTGGGCAGGCACGCTGTGCAATGTGTGCGGCAAAACCGAGGGGGGGGACTAGGGCAAACATGAAGGGGTTCTCAGAAAAGCTGAGACACAGAAAATGAATCCCTTGTCTTATTTTGGGTATGAGGAATGAAGGTAAAATTCAGCCGTCTTGAGGAGAGGACTGAAGGAAGGAGGGGAACCGCGGCCAGCTTGCCAGCCTGCACACGCGACTGCGGCAGACACAGTTTCTGCTGAACACACAAAGTTTGCTGAAGGTTTTCTGTGTCTGGTGTAGCCTGCCCTATGTACATAGCTTGGAATATCCAACGCTCAAATGCCGTTCGTTTATGCACACGCGGGCAGGTCAAGGCCTGACACGAGCCAGCGCAGCTCGTCCCATGTCGGTGAAGCCGGGCCAGCTTCCACGAGCAGAGGGGCTGGCCCATGACATCCACAACGCGGCTCCCACGTGCAGGACGCACGTTGCTGATCTTTAGCCCTGTGTAACTGTTCGGGGTTTTTTGGTTTTGATGCTTAATGTTTTTCCTTTCTATACAGAAATCCTACAGCCTTAGATAAAATTGAGACAGCTGCAAGCAGTGATACGGAGATTTTCCCAAATGAAGTGGCTACACTTTGAAATAAAATCGCTTTAAGGAAGATATAAAGCCATTCCCCGCAGAAAAACCGTATTGGATTGTTAGTGCTCCCTGCCTGCCTTCTCCTCGCAGGAAGCCCTGTATGATTGCCCAAACATCGCCAGGCTGCTGCGGGGTTTCAGCTTTCCACTCTACTTATTCATGCGTTTCTATTATTCTTTCTGCACTCAGAGGACCCAGATATTTCAGAACAGCTTTGCATTAAGGGCTTTTCCCAAGTTACTGTGGTGCACAGTGAAGAACTAGCAAAAAAACAGGGTGCTTGGGGAAAGGCAGGCCAGAGGACAGAGAAGAAAAGTGAATAGCCATGTACGCTTAATTTACAATTTTTTTCGATGAAAAAGAAGGTAAACAGATGCCAAAGTTAAGAAGCTGTACACAGAATAACTGGCTGAGTGAGGAGGCAATCTGGAGCGGTTACTGCGTTAGAGGAGTTATCTCATTCTGTAGGCAGGAGGGCTGCTGAGGATAAAGGGCTGGCAGAGAACCACGAGGGGTACGCGACTTCCCAACTCATTCCTTCAAAAGTGTTTAGCGATGAACTTACCGCAGTGCCATTGTTATCTCTAAATACATCTTGATTAAAGTAGTCAAAGAGCTTCTTTTCTAATTGTAGCATAACCTAAAAACAAAATAGAGGAGATGGTCAGCAAAGCTCCCGGACTCAGCCCCCTGAGGCACGGCCGCTGGGAGGGACCCTTGCAGACGCGCAGCCCTTCAGAACTACGCGACGTTTCCACCCGCCTAAAGCCCCGTGTCGGCCTGCCCGTTTGGCTGACTGGCAATCGCTTAAAAAGATCCAATTAACTGAGCATTAGGTGTGACAATCTATCCCCCTCCCCTCCCTCCAAATTATCAGTTTGAAACAACTATATCCATGCTTTGTAGGACAGAAAGCGAACATTCAACAACGTTTCTGTTTACACAGGGGGGCCAGAGGGCATTAAGTTGTTTACCTTTCGGTCATTATCAGATTCACGAAATATTAGCTTGACTACTTCATTTGTGTCAGCTGCCCGGACAGTCTGCATCGTAGCCTTTGCACATAGCGTCTAATAAAAAACACAAAGGGAGAGAGAGAGAAACCAGTTTATATGAAACATAAGGGCACATTTGATGGAACTTTATCAGCCTCTGCATCTCCATTGCCCACCTGAAAATGCCATTTGCTGTAGGTCAAAACGCCAAGCACGGCTAATTCAAGCCACCTCCACTCACGACGGATTCGGAACAATAAACTGAATTACCGTTTGGAGAGAAACAGGCAGTATTAAGAAAATAGCAACCAGATAAGGCAAATATTCATTTGACTTACCACCACGCACACAGGTTCTTTCACTGGTCTGACACCGCGTCACGCGTTAAACATCTGCAAAAGCCACTTCCTACAGCTCCTGCCCCCACAGCCCCACCGGCTCCTGCACCGCGTCCCTAAAGGCTGGTAACTACACTGGCACTGCCGTCCTGCGGGTTACCTCTCGTGCGCAGAAACTCCTGCCTTGTAAATTAACATTCCAAGTACAATTCAAAGTCCGAGCGATGCTTACACAACCTGGCAGTGAGTTTCACAGTTTGCTCTGGAGAGAAAATTCCCCGCGCATCCTCCTTTTACGTAAGAGATGACACTGCAGCCCTAGGTGTTTTGAGGACTGGGTGTCTAACGCACACCATAAATCAGCACTGCATCGGGCACAGGGGCACCACTTTCCAGGGAAGCGTCAGGCCTCGATTCATTTGCCGTGCCCCGGGCTGGGGCCCGGCTTCAGTGGCCACCAAAGCTGCCGGAGAGCGCGACGCCCAGCCGGCTGTTTGCAGGGCTTGCTCTGCTCCGCCGCAACCGTGACGGTCTGGAACTCTCAGCAAAGCAGCTAGGCATACATTTAACTCAAAAACGTGCCTCAGGGTCACTGAACCCATACTTTTAGTGAAGCTTTAAGTACGCGCAGTGCCGTGAGCTGCAGAAGCAGACACCACCTTTGCTGTGGGGTAGGCAGCCTTTGCACAGCGCCCTGCAGTTCCCAGCCTGGGCAAAGCTTCGGGACGCCATGCCATGCCACCTCGCCCGCCTGCCGGGGTTGCTGGAAACCACCAGGCAGAAGACAGAAAGGGGGACTGCGAAAACCCGGGCATTGCTCGAAGGCGGAGAGAAAACGGCCGAGATGTGCACCCACGCCTGGGGGCGGCTCGGCACCCTTCACTACCGCCGAGGCGCGAGTGGCTGAGAGGATCCAGGCACGGCCCGGGATGAGGGTATCGGCAGACTGTCCTTCGGGATAAAAGCTTACTTTGCCAGAGGTTCTTAACAAAAGCGCGCTAAAGAAAGCAATTCAGTCAGGAGGAGGCGAGGTGGTGACCTCCCTGCTCCGCCTGTTCCGTTCCTCTCCGTAACGGCCAGACAACCCGGTTTTATTTTACATAATATTCACCTAGGAAACAGGTAGGTTCTGTGGCAGCAGGTACCAGAAGGTCACATCCCACTACAAGTCCCTTCCTCTCACAAACAGGAATACTCGTGTCAGGATCATTCTCAGGAGTCCAGCGCCTGTCAGGCACGGTGCCGTGGAACTACAGCTTCCCTCCCAGTTCCCCATTCCGAACTTCTTCCGAAGGAGGAAACCCAGGCCAATCGCATTTAAACAACAACCCATCTGCTTCCAAGTATTTCCGATCTCGGCTGAGGTTATCAGTGCTCAGAATGGGAACGGTCTGTCAGTGGACGTTTTGCCCCCGTTTGATAGAGAGACGTTAAAACACGACCCTTGATGAAGGCCCCCGCGCGCTGCCACGGCACAGACAAAAAGCAGCAAGCTAAGGATTTCATTTTTAAAGGGTAACTTGAGTGTGAGTCAGTAAAAACAAAATACAAATCTGATTTTTTTCTTCTAGTCTGTGAGCTGAAGAGGTGCCAATTCTCCATTTTATTGGATAAATGGTGTCGTTTCCTGACAAATTTTTCCTGTTTCCTCCCCCCCCGCCCCCCAAGCAGTGCCAGGTCTATAGATTACAAACGTCTGACTCTGGGCTTGGTCCTAAAAAACCGGCACCACCAGGGCCGCTGGGCGCCTGAGGAGTGACAGTCTCTGCTGGAGAAAGGCGCCCTGGTCCGACCAACGACCAACGTGGGCGGCCCTTTGAGCACCGCATCCCTCGGGCAGCCGTAGGGGTCTGTCCAAAGCAGGCGGGGGAGGGGAGGGGGAAGGCGCTGGCAGCAGCGGGCAGGAGGGGGAGAGGCGCCAGACCTGGGGCAAGCTGCGCTTTCCTGACCACTGATTTCAGGCGCAGACCGACTAACTTTTCCCTCGCGCCCGCCGTGTTCCGAAGGATCGCTTTTGTCCGGCTGGACACGCAATTACCGTTGAGCCATCTGTGTCTGCGCGCGGACACGGGTGAGGTAATCCACCAGCCTTTCCCAAAGTGCGGTCCCTCCGACGCCGGCGATTGAAATTCAAAGCACAGATCAGCTAATCGGGTCAAGCCCAAAAAAATAGCGCTTTGGGCTCATGTGTCACAAATCAGTCTGGTCGCCTTTAACCAGCGCACCAGATTAGAACAAGCACCCGAACAAACCAAAGCGGAAAACCCGCCGCTCTCCAAAGCTGGTTTCTAAAGCCCTAACAAATCGCTCCATCTTTCACTCATTTAAACTTTCCAAATGAGGGTCAATACGGTCCCCGAGCATCCAAATGCTAATGCGCTTAAGTGCGCTTAAGCAGCTTTCCAGAGTGAATGGGCCAAAGAAGGGCTCCAAAAGACAAGGCAGAGTTACTGTCACTGTCAAAAAGTCATTGTAGCCACCCCCGGAGTGGTTGCAATTCAAGAAATTCATGATTTCTGTCTCTTAAAGGCATCTGCTTGAGAACATTTTTTTTTCCTGAGCTGCTTTATCTCACAACTTCAGGCCGGCTCTAACAGAACCCCCCCGCGATCGACTCTTGAGAACCGATACAGAGAAAGGACCCACATACCTTATTGCTTTCAAATTTCACACGCACAAGAAGTTACCTTATTCACAGACAAAAAGTGATGGGGAAAGGTTCATTTCTTATACAAGCCGGAGCACTCCTTTTTTCCTCCTCCTTTCAATTTCTACAAAGTCGTAGTCACCCAAGCAGAAAACTTTCGGGAACATGCGCCTTTTCAGACAAGTCTCCACTTATGAAGGGATTTGTTGTTGCTGGTAAAGAAAATCAAAATGCTATGAAACCACACTGCTGCTTTTGGGGTATGCCCCCAGAGGTACTCTTTTACAACTCCAAAAGAGGGGAAACCAGAGAGCAAAACTCCGCCATCCAAGTTATCTTTTAAAAAAAAACCCACCCTTTTTTCTTTGGAAAGAGTATTTGGTTCAAAAGCCTGCAGGAGAGCTGTATGCAAAGCTGAGAGAGCAGCCGGGATTCAGCCTTCGCTTAGCAAACGCCGCGGCGTCCTGCCCCGTTCTCACATGCACTGCACACAGGTAGATGCTTCGTGGTGCTTTTTAAATAATCCTTTGCGATAATTTATGTGTACTGAATTGCAAAACACAGCGATAACTTTTCTGATAATCGCCCCAGAACGTAATAAAAATGCACTGTTATGCAAAGCTAGGAGGGGAAGTTTTTTACGTGGACAAGAGACAAAGCTGGAATTTCTTCTAAACCCTGCAGCCCTCAGCACCTGGAGCCTTTTGGTTTACGGCATAAACGCAACCTCCAAAATGCATCTGCTCCTGTCGACACCCAATGCATCAAAATGTTTTAGACTGTATTTCTGCATACTTACAGTGAAAAGGGATGAAGACATAAACGCAATTGTTACATACATATAACACACACACAATATTCTATAATAAATGTAATTGCTTTTTGTATTGCGCCTACACGGAAACACTGAGCTGCTGAGGACCGTACCACCGCATCCTGCCAGCAGCACTCTGCTGAAAGCTGCAGCTGATTTTCCATCGATTTTGCACTCCTGCTTTCCGAGCATCCTTTAGGCTCCCGAGTCCACCTCTTGATGTGTGAGCTGAGTTATTGCATGCTTGTAATTACTTCAACAATTTTTTTTTTTCAAGAACGCTCTATCCAAGCACATCCAGAGTCAAACTTCCCTATTGCCTCTGTCTACTGCTTCTAAAGATGCCTATTATTTTTCCCAAGGATTTGAATACTCTTCTTAGGACTTATTATTACTTTGAATTCTTCTTAAAAAAAGAAAAAAGTAGAATTTAACCACTGTTCCTTTATAATTAAAATAATTCAGCAATAGCTGCAATTGCAATTTCCGCAGGCTGCATGGATTCAACCGGAAGCGTTTGTTGCTAAAAGTGCCAGGAGGGGAGTGCAGAGCCTGAGGAACGCTAACATGAGCCAGCTGAAATAAGGCCTTGAGCACATGAACAACCAAATCAATTAAATTTAAGATACTTGATTTTATTCCGGTTACACACCCTGAGGATTCTGGCAGGACACGGTGACGTATCATCTCGTTATGACAGTGAAATACTTCTGAAATGCTGCTCAACCCCCCAAATCAATCTGACACTTATTAAATTAGGATAATCAAATGCTTTTTTACTATTATCTGGATGCAAATTGTATTTGAAACAACCAGCGAGGCAAAAGATTTGCTGCTTTGGGAATAAGAGGAACATCTGCCTTGGTCAGGCTCCTCCTTACCTCTGAGGGCTTGATACGGTTCCCTGGGCGTTGGGAATCTACTACAATAAATGCACCAGATCATGTGATGAAGGAGAAATAAAATTTGCAAGTGTGAAAACCAAAGATAAATACAACTTTCTGAGCCAATGGAGGCTGTGCACGTAGCCACAGGACAGTTACCACCGGGGGTTTTAAACTCCTGTCTGCCACTGAAATGGAGACTCACTGAGCCGACTCGTCACCACCGCGCAGGTACTCGGCACCCGGCTGCTGCGAACAATCAGGGAATGACAGAGCGAAATCCCCCAACGTAAAGCAATCGAAGCCCACCTGAGGGGACACACGCTTCTACTTGAAAAGATCTCCCTTAGGCTGTATATCCACTCGGGCCAGCTCTAGCTCTGGGAGTAGCC